CTGGGGTGATTTAGATTTACTTTGGCTGTAAGTTAACAGTAATGCAGCTCTTTTAGCACAAAGACAAGTGTAGTGTGATTTACTGGAGACGTCTAACACTTAACAAGATAATCTTTTTAAAGACTGTGATGAACTAGTGATATACAGATGATCCAATATTTTCGTGCAATCGAAAGGAAACATTAATCCATGCTGGTAGTAATGTACATCAGTTATCCCACAGAAAGTTGCTTAAGCTGTTCTGTGCCCCTGTGACTGCACACTGACATGCTTTAACATGTCAACACTCACCACCAAATAGGAGTCCTGTCTAAGCCCCAACAGGAAACCAGGGTTCAACACATCATATATAGTGAAAAGCTTACAGAAGGAGAAAGGATAAAGGATGGTCCTCAGCAAAGAGAGAGATGAGTGAGGCAAAACATATGAAGGAGCAGAAGGAACCAATTAAAAGCCTGATAAATTTAGAACTCTTTGCTCAACAAGGAGTGGAAAGCATATTTTATGTATTAACCCATGCCACATTTTTATAAACTGGTGTTATTTTAATGTTAGTATTACGCTTGCATACAAACAGTCCTCTTCAGAAAGGAAAAATTCTTTTCCATTTTGTTTTACTTGAAAGAAGATTGTAAACACCAGGCTGAGCACTGAAGTTTTCAACACTGGTAGAAGCAGAGCTGTCTAGAGGGATGCTGAAGCTCTTCTTTCAGTGAAATGTGTCACCACTACATGAAAGATAGCTGTGTAATATTCTTTCCATCTAACATTACATCAAGTGATTCACACCAACACTCATTTCTTAAACTTAACCTTTTAGTGCAGCTTATGAAATATGGTGCAGTCTTCAAGCAGGATTATTCTCCTTTGAATTTTCTGTAATAAGGCAATACATAAAACTACTTTCCATTGCTTTGCATGTCCTTAGTCTTCCCTAAACCTGGATGAGAAGGCAGGAATGGCTTTGTAACATTGGGGCTGCTCCCAGAGACACAACCTGAGGCACAAACCACGTGAACAACACTCTGTGACTGCCTCCTTCCCCTTTGCTCCTAAATAAATGCAGTATTCCTCTAGTACTGTCTGTCTGATTCTGCCCACCAGAAGATGCATCAGAAGAGCGTGAAGAGTGGGCACCTGTGCCATAACCTGCCTCCTGAAAGAGTTTTCCCATGATTCTGCTGCTTGCTGTCCTAAACGCTCCTTCTCCCAGGCAAAATGGGCTGCTTTGGTGAGTTTGGCTCCCAGCAGCACTCTGAAGCTCAGTGCAGGTGTGGAAGCTGCAAGAAAGTATTTACTAACTGTGCTTTCTGGATTTGGATCGCTGCTTGAACAGACGGTCAAATATGCTTTGGAGCAGTGCAGAGCAGAAAACTACTTCTAAAACTGTAATTGCAGATCATAGCAATGAAGCAGCTAGACTAAGAATAAACACAGCAAATGTACACTCACCAGAGCCACTATATACACATGTACACACACACCCATACACACACACACTTGGCAGTGGCAGCAGCTCAAATATAACTAGACTAAAAGCCATTTCTGAAGACGTTTCTAAGGTTACTCGGTTAAAACTGAGTCATTGCACACTGTTGCATGTCTCATTTGAAATTCAGGATGAAGTCTAAGAACTGCCATTTTTAAAATTTCAAGTTGTTTCATAATCAAATTTGTAGGAAATTAATATAAATAATGCCATCTCCTCAGTTAAGTCTCAGATTATGTTTTAGGTCATCTATGTAACTTTTTACTTTAATTTTTTTTTTAAATGGATCTTATCTGAATATTTTCTCTTTTAAATATCTAAGTCTGGCACTGATACAGTTTGGCTTGTTTAGCACACTGAAACCCAGTAGTATTCATGAACTAGATAGCTCCAGGACAAATTTCTACTATAATGCAAAAATAATTAAAACAAATGCATCATTTGTGGTTTTAGTAATTACTACAAATACTTATTTTTTTATTGCCAGATATAAAAAAGATTACTTAGTATAACATCATCCCTGTGATGACACATACGTGCCAATGCAACTTCACATTAATCACAGTAGGCAAACCATCAATCAGTGCAATGTGACAACTGTTCTCCATTCTTCCTCCTCCTCTCTTTCTCTCTCTCAAAAACCCCAAAAAACTTCAACTCATCTTTGGATGTTTTGAACAAGAAGCAAAACCACTATTTATTGAACATTAGTTTTTCAAAGTACAATTGCTTGCTTTCCTTCTCAGTGGGTTTGATTTCTAACACAATGACTGAAAAACTCCTGCAAAAATATAATATACTTAGAGCTCAAATTCCAAACCTATTCTGAGCAAAAATAGTTACAGAAGGAAGGAAGAAATTAAGATTACCTTAGTAGTATCTGTAACATCTGATCCTGGCTAACTCTAAAGCATATGCTAATTTTAAGCCTCTGAGTAGTCCATTGGCTTCAGTGAATCCAGTGAAAGTCTAGAAGATTAGTCAGGCACTTAACACTGCTGGCAAATGTGTAACTCTGGGATGGCAGTCAGGCCATGAGGAACATGCATAAGAATGGCAGTGGAAAATAAGGGGTAGGAGCACACAATAGAAAACCTTTGCAAAAGAATGGATCATGTGAGAGAGCTCCTTTCAAGGACTACTTGAAAGGCATGTCACCACTGTGGGGAAAAAAAAAGAAAAGCTATTTACTAACATACTGTTGCTTACACTGAGTCTTTGAAGTAGCAAAACTTTATCTCTTCAGGTCAGCCACATAATACTTATTCAAGTCACACGATTTTCCATTTGTTATAAAATAAAACAACGAGGGTTTTTACATATCTTAAAATCAAATCCCTAAGGGATGAGTGACCCAGTAGATTGTTATGCTTGCTCTGATCAGCCCAGCACTAAGCAAAGTTAGTGCTGCTTTATCAATTTTTACAAACTCAACAGCAAATTCAAATGGTCAATCACTACTTCTCTCCCATAGGAAAATCCACACACAATACACCAGCCATTTCCCAAATGCATGTATCATCTATAGGCTTTTTATTTCACCAAAGCCATAAATCAGTAAATCAGGCAACGCCTTGCAGTAGGTTTTAAAAATATGCAGGTTATGCAAGATGCAGAAGTCTTATCAAAAGCTTTTATTTAAAAGCAATCCAAGAAAATGAATGTCAGTTCCTTAACTTTTATTCAAAACAAAGTAGAAAATTCTGTTAGGAATGTCTATAGAAGCATTATTGGCCAAGAAGGCCAAAAGAGCCTAAACCCAAGTTTCAGCTTGGATCTAGCTCAGGACAAACAGCTTCTGTAGCACTTCAGAGTCATTATGCTGGACCTTAACCCCTAAATAAAAAGTTTTGGACCAAGCTACCATGACAGACTTGATGCTGCAATGATACAACAAAACCAAAGCCCTAACACAACAGAAATGTCAATGCTAACAGTCCACAAACAGGAAAAAGTACTATGCCTGTTAGAAACTTCCCAAAGCAAAGACTTCTATCCTAGAATAAAGGTAAGAAAAATCAGGCAAATACTAATAGCTCATAGCCACAGGTATATAAGTTTTAAATCGATTTTTTCTCCATTCCCTTGATGCTGACATCAATGATGCTGACATCCATGCCTTTTTAGACTCAAACTCTTGCTATACAATGAAGTTATAAAACTACCTAAAATACAAAGTCTGTGGCAATCCTCAATTTTCACTGTACAAAGGCAGTATTTAATACTTGTGGCCAACAGTGTATTGGACTACAGCAAGAAGAAGTTGTATTAATATAAATGGTAAATAAACCACTTAGTATTCTGAGACTCAGTATTTGCCTAGAGGCTTGATACAAGCATCCTGAGATCTTGAATTTCACCTTAATTTAATGATACTGTCACTTTACTCATTCTGAAATTAAAATGTGGTGTTATATATATATATATATATATATATATATATATATAAGTTCTAAAATAAAGATATATCTAAAGATATAAAGTTCTAAAATTCCTGCCCTTTAAATATGAAAAAAAAAATCCAGCAAATAGTTCTTACAAGGAGATAGATCAAAACAGTATTTTATTATTAGTTAATTCCATCTGTGTGTTTAGACACACAGGAATTATATAGGATGCTGACAACAGCTGGAGCGGGGGAGGGGAGGTGGGTGAGAGGAGAAAGGGGGGTGAGGTCCTCACTCCAGTGAGAGACTTGTGTACCTGACAGATAAACTCAGCCTAACTTCTTCATGTATCCTATTTATCTTCAAATCTATTTATGTCACACAAGAGAACATATGAGCATAGCAGCTGTTACTATAGCAATGAAACTGAAAATTTTGAGAACACAAAAAACCCACCCCTGAAGGATGCTCAGTTTAGCAAAGAGATGGTTTAGAGAACAGCACACCAGTATCTCACTTCTTGGATCTGCTCAAAGTCTGCGTTTACAGAGACATTAAATCAGCTGTAACAGCCTGTTCCCCAAAGAGCACTCGGAGCCAAATCACCGCTACCTCTTACTCGGCACGACTCGGTACACCGGGAGTTCCTGCTAAGTAACCCCAAACTTGTCAAGTACGCCTAAGCCGCCTGTAAATCCGGGGAAAAGCGATTCCCTGCAAAAGGCTCAGAGGTTCTGATGGCGGCAGAGAAGAGATTCGCCATAGTAACAAACCCCCCACCCGCACCGCGGGTCACAGCGGGGAGCGCGGCGAGCCCCGCACCCCCGGCAGCACGCACACCTGCCCGGCGCCGGGAAGGCGGCACGGGCCGGGACAACTCAGGTACTTCGCTCAAGCAGCGGCAGGCAGCCTCTCCGAGCACGGCCCGGGATGAAACCCACCCGCAATTCCCCCAAGTGCCGTTCTCCTGTCAAACGCCCCCCGCTCCCTCCCTCCCTCCCGTCCCCGGCCGGCGGCCCTGCCCCCCCGCCTCTCGCCCCTCGCCGCCTCCCTCCGCGGGCGCGCCGGCCCCGCGCAGCCCCGGCCCCGCCGCGGACCCGAGGCGCTGCCGACCGCGGTTTTACCTGCGAGGGAGCCGGGTCTCTGCAGGGTGGCGGTGGCGTACAGCTCCTGGGAGTGCTTGCTGTACTGATCGGCAGCGTGAACAAGCCGCTTGGTAGGCGACAGGGTGGCGTAAGTGCCGATGGTGGAGCTTAACTGGTGGATAGGAGAGGAGGAAATGTTAGACTGGACGGTGGGCGGGGAGGTCACTCGGATGGGGGACGGCGACAGTCCCGCCGAGGAGACGACGATGTTGATGGGCGAGCTGGTGCTGTAGGACTTGGCCAGGCGGCTGGGGGACTGCTTCGGGGAGGAGAGGCGCTGCGCGGTGGCGTAGGCGGCGCCCTCGGCGGCGGAGCCGGCCCGCGGCAGCTTGGTGGGGGAGCCGCCGGGCTGGGCGGGCAGCGGGGAGCTCACCCGCTGCGCCGGCAGCGTGGAGCTGGCGTAGTAGAGCGCGGCGGCGTGCTGGGGCTCGGGCAGGTGGAAGGCGCTGCCGTGGCTGGGCGCGAAGGGCTCCCGCGGCTGCGGGGCGGCGGGCGGCGGCGGCGGCTCCGGGCCGCCCGGGTGGGCGCCGCGGCCCCCCGGGCCCTGCTGCGGGAAGGAAAGGCAGAGGCGTCAGCGGCGGCGGGCGCCCGGCTCCCCCGGCCCTGCGCGGGGCGGTGCGGGCCCGCCGGCCGGAGCAGCCCCCCGGCCGCACGCAGCCCCCTCGCTGACCTCGAACCAGGCCGGCACCCGGCGCCCGCGGGATTACGGGAGTCGGTAATCTGCTAAAGCATTCCCGGCCTTTCAGGGAAAAAAAAAAAAACATCGGCCGGCTCGGCCCGAGAGGCGTCGAAACTCCTCCCGACGGCTGAAGCCGTCTCCGGGCCGTGGGCACAGCGCTCCGGCGCGCCGGCTCCGGAACGCGCTCGCCGGCCAACCCCTAAACCAGGCAGGGTCTAGCCCCGGCTCAAATACTTACGTACGTACATAGACACAGATAAATACACCCGCGCCCCTTTATTCTGCATACATTAGAGAAGAGCGGCCGAAGCCTCGGAAAAAGCCTTTAATCGAGTAACTTTCCTCGTTTTCCAGCAACCTGTGTCCCTACAGGAGAGGCACCACACCGGGAGCTCGCTGCTCCCGGCGGCCCGGACCTGTGTGGAGGGACGGAGGCAGGGGAAGCCCGGGCCGGTGCACGCCGAGCCCCCCTGGCAGCGCAGCACGGCACGGCACGGCACGGCTCGGCAAGCGGCCGCCTCGCACTCAGTTACGCCGCACGAAGGGGGCGGGGGGTACGGGAGGAGCTGCCGGGGCCGGGCGCTTCCCTGGGCCGCATCCAGCGGGGAATCTGCATAGAGAAGGAGGGAGAGAGCTCCCTGCGCCGACCCTCTGGCCGCGGGCAAGGCAGCGCTGAGCTCCCTCTAAGACCAGTAATTGAGGGGGGCTGGGATGAGGGAGCGAGAGAAAATCCTCGGGAGATACTGCCTATGAGAAATTTCGGTTCTGTGCCTGAGCCGCTTCTGAAGCCGCAGAGGATGAAGCTTGCCCTTATACACAGTCGGCTACCCCTTTTTTTTTTATCGGGGATCTTAGGCTCAAGAGATCATCTGTGAGTCTGGTAACATTAAAATCCTCTCATAACTGCACCCCGCAGTGAGGGAGAGCTCAGCGCTCTGTTGGAAGATGTGCTGTTAGATTTAGATACTGTTTTTTTTCTGGTTAGGCAGGGGATTTACTTGAAACCTCAGAAAGTGCTCTGGATCCTCAGAGTTGACAGCATAGTTTGAATCGGTCTGACCGGTGCTTTGCCCAAACACATGCACACGCCTCTCAGCTACTGATTTCCTTAGCCAGAAGAAGCTTTAAAATGTGAATAATGAATTTTGTGACTCAATTCAAAGAGGTGTTGTGAATGCCAACAGTAGCATTGTTATACATTGAATAGCAATGTGATTTTCCAGTAGCATCCTACAAAAAAACAAGTGGGCAAAAGCACCATGTTCCTGGTATGAAATTTGATTTATTTGCACTAGGATACTCAATAAAGGATTTGGTCAGGAACTGAGGACAGTATAACTAATCAGAGCAGAAAATAAACAATATTCAAAATGCCGGAAAGCTGTTACTTCTTCCTATGTACACCCACTGGAAATGTTTGTGGGGTTTTTTTTTACTTTTGGAGCCCTTCATCTTAAATGTCTGGAGGAAGAATATGTATTTTCCTAGACAGAGACAAGAAACAAGGCTTTGGAGAAGCTCCTCCTGGAGCTTTGCTCCCAGTTGCTAGTCGCATGGAAGAAGCTACCAGCACTGACATTGCTCAGGCTTCTTTAGAGAGCACTGCCAGACCCAAACCTCCCTGGCTTTGCAGCTCACAGAGCAATGGCTTTACACATAAATGAAACGTAAACTGTCCCAGTCCAGGTGCTCTGTACGGTGAGTGCCAGGTGAGCAAGGGGCTCACAGATGGAAGTAGCTGCTCTCTTTTGAGCTGGACTGTTCAGATTGCAGCAGCGAGTGACAAACATTACAGCTGCAAGTACATGTCCTGACATTCTCAAAAATGGTCAACAAGCTCAAGTTGCTCACTTGAAAGGCTTCTAACAAAAACCAGGAAGGAAAATTGTGGGAACATCAGCAAACTTTTAAAAGCTACTTTCATGCTGAGCTACTTACCGTATATGCTTTAAAGTGGAAAGAAGGACTAATCTTCAGCTGACTGTCCAATAATGTATTTGACAGGAGTACAGTTTTCATTTTCCAGGTTTAGACTATATGGTAACAACTTTCATTAGACAAAAAAAAGGTCGGTATGATTTAAGACAACATGGGCAGAGCAAATTTTGCACTTAACAAAATGTCATTCAAACTAGCTACATTATCAATTGATATTTGCTAATAAATTTTACTTTTTGGACTGTTAAGTGGCATAATAATAATAATTTTCTAATACACAGTGCTCCAAAATACAGTCTTTTGCAATGTTAACAGTGCACCAATTACTTCTTCAACACACTGGTAACTTTACCAGTTTGCTGTTGATCCTAAGGGTTTTAGGCAAGTACTGTCATCATGTATACAAAATTTCTTTTACTAATCTACTTCTACACTGCTTAATGTGTCAAGGATTTACAGTAATTAATTTCAAGTAAACCAGTATTATCCCATATTCCTAATAAATCTCTATAAAGCTGCGAGCATTCTGCAAGCACTAATTCAAAAAAAACCCAAAAATCCCATTTCATGATGATTTGTTATAGGGAACAAGGTGTAGTGGTGAGACACAATAATTAAATGCTTAATTAAAAATGCAGTGTATATCACTCCCTAAAAAGCTAAGCATGTGCTCTATGTGAAGGAGAGAACTTATGGATGAACAGATTGCAATGAAAACACTAGCATGCAGTATTTTCTAGGATGTGACTAATCTCAGACCTGTCTTAAATGTACCGTGAGGTTCTTAGGTTTTTTCAAAGGGCCAAGTGTGCAGTAACATTCTCCACACATCTTTTCAGAGACAAAATGTGGTTTAGTTTTTCATTGTGTTTCTCCCTGTCTGTGGCTTAAAACAGACCCAAAGACACATCATTGTTCACCCTGCAATGTGACATACTTGGTATGGAAGAATAAAATACAGTGGTATTTTTTCCCTTATTTTTTTCCATTTATCCATTATTTTTGTCAACCTGATAACAAAACTGTGTTTAAGCTAATAAACTAAGAGCAAATTTGCTTCTCAGTAATTATATTCTCTACCATCATCCTATTTCATAGATGTGAATAAAAATCAAGGACTCTCTTTACTACAGCCCTATGAATATCTATTCCAAGACACAGGGGTTTCATTTCCCTGGCATCCCAATGAAAAGTAGCCTTGCTTATTTCGATTCAATATATGGATTCTGGTATATCCTTTTTAAAAACAGGAATGTGTGAAAAAAACATGAGAACATTAACACAGCTATAAAAATATTTTCTTTCCAATTTAATGTTACTAAGAAGATCATTTTCTACTGATTCAAAACAGTATCTTTAGAGCTTCATACAGAAAATTACTGGGGATATCCAGTTAGGTTATAGGAGACTAGAGAACAGTCTAACTGCTGTTTGCCTGTTCATTCAAGCATTTAATGCCCAGAATTCCAGGAAATTAGTGTTTTGGGGGTTGGGTTTTTGTGGCTTTTTTTTTGGTTGTTTGGTTGTTCTTGTGTGGGGATTCTTTCGTTGTTGTTTGGCTTTTTTGGGGTTTTTTTGTTTGGTTTTTGTTTGTTTGTTTTTACAATCCAATGGATAACTTAAATTGGAACTTTACCCTAGAAAGAGTAAATAAAAGACTGCAATATAAGATTTCTGTTCTATAGAGTAGAATTGAGAGGGTCAAATAACTGTGTTGACTGATTTATTCTGCAGAAAATTTTTCATGGATAAGGAATTACAAAATGGCTAGATAGCTTTAAGTGAAACTTTGGGGTCAGCTGCTAATATGAATCAGTATATTGATTCTTGGAGATTGCTCCCAGAGGTTTGAGTAAGTCTGCATGCCCATCTTAGGTCTGGATGAACTTTAGTTTAGCAGTAAATGCCAGTGCCAGTTTTCAGCTCATTTTGCTCTCTGGATCTCTTTGCCTTTATAAATCTCAAACAAGTCACATCTAATGAATACTAACATAGTCATATACAGTGCACTGTGGTCCCTGAGGAGACCCTTTCTCTTGATTTTAGGGAGCATTTTCCAAGTTGTGTAGAAAACCTCTCTCCAGGCCCCTTTGGCTTTTAACTATTGGTGTGTGTTGGTAGCTTTAGGCAGAAAAATTGTTCATCCTGACCAGGGTTTTCTAGAGACATTCCACAGGTGCAGCTCTGTTTCACAGTCTCAGTGATGCTCTGAGCTTTTTCAGAGACTGCTAGACTTGCCAGTCTATTGAGGGCTCCTTTTTTTCCTGTAAGCCCAAAGAACCTTCCATAAGGCTTCACTCAAGTTATCACTCTGCTGTGGTCCAATGCCTCAATCAACACTCTTACAAAGAGAAGAGGGCATGGAAATTGCATAACATTCTATAGTCTTGGAATGCCCCCTTCAGTCTTTGGCCAGGACCTATAGAAGGGCCTTTCTTCTGCAAGACTACTTTAATGTAATTTGTAAGTTCCTGACCTGACTAGAAAGATGCTACCTATGTTCAAATGCTCTTATACAAAAAGAGATGCAAGACTATACCTCTGGATCCCTCAAATATGGCCTATTCCATCTCTTTCTCCTGATTTTGTTCCATCATTCCACTTCAAAATTCCAACACTATTAGGAAAATTTGTCAGCCTACCTGATCCTGCTCTCAAAGGTCATACATATAGATGAAGGTAGGTAATTGTAGTCTTCTACATCCACAAACAGAATGGTGTGAGACCTTCTCAAAGTGTCCAGAGATGGTCCATCTCTGGTTTTAAAGCAGCAGTGAATGCTACAGTCATTACCTGTGGCAGAATCAAAGCAGCATTGCAGATTTCCACTGCCATAATCTCTACTAGTGAATTGTTATCTGAGTGCTGTAATAAGAGTAATCTGTTTTAAGATTTCATCTTGTTTCCTTTATGTCAGAAAAATTCTTATGTTTATATTTGGAATTTGGTTTTAAACACATTGTCATTGGCCATACCTACCAGAAGAGAAATATTTATTTTAGCTTTCGTCTGGGTAGGTTATCAAGCAACCTGATACCTTGTGGCCAGTAAACAGATTCTGCTTAAAAACTTAATGCATTCTAGCACTCATTTGCTAGTGAGGTGTGGTGGTCTGACAAACTTGTTTATAGGGAAAAGAAGACAAGTTAGAACACTAACTGTAAAATGTGTTTTCAAGACTTTTTTAATCACCTTTAATTTCCATATACTTTTTTGATTTTAAGGTATTCCAATTCTGTGCCAGTTTATTCAGTCCAAAAGCATCAGGTGCACAGGATACTGCAATACAGTAGGGATTTACCTGTGTTGCAGCCACAGCCTCTGAAAGGACTGCAACATTACCAACAGCTAAACAAGTCCTCATCCAGAACATAAACTTCCTTTCCTGTCCCCTTGCAAACACATGGCAGAGCATGCAGAAAACTACTCTATTTACTACATGCTATACTTTATACTCCTTTGATATCTCTGCATTGTAAGATGATCATTCTCCAAGTTGCACTAAACCTGGTTGGACACTGAATTTGAAAAGCAGTTTTCAGTGGGGAAGCAGAGTAATTCCCTGCCAGAGGAGCAGTTTTTGCTAAGAAATTGTGTCCCGGTAGTATTTAGAAGATAAAAGTTTTATGTTTGAAAGTAGGCAAAGCACTGGAAAAACTCTATGATCTATAATGAACTCCACCAAATTGACAAAAATGTTAGATTGCACTTTGCAACACTATGCAGGAAGTCCCAAGACTAATTAGTTTCTCTTTTTTATAAAATTGCATTTTCACAAATTGTTCTTGCTGTCACAGCTGGCCTTGGGACTATTTACTTTTTTTTTGCAACCATTTGGACTATCATTCATGTTGAGAGATAGCTATATTCCTTGCACACAAATACCAAAGGAAATTATCACAATCTGAGAAGCTTCAGCTCCTGAGGCTTATTTTAATTATAATAGGTATAGCAAAACAATTCTTAGGATTGACTTTTTTTTCCCTGTAATTGTGGGATCAGCAATGGTCATATTCAAAATTTTTAAATTTTGACTTTTGAATTTTCCTCTTCCTGTTTACCTCTTTTAAAACCCCTTTTACATATTTTTAATGGTATTAATTAATAGTTTATGTGGCAGTTTGTTAGCATTTTCAAAATATATATAAATTCATCTGAAGTTGTCAGGCATCTTTTGCTGCATCATGGTGTGAAGCATTATTAAGTTCTCTGAATTATTTTCCTGCAGGAATATCTATCCTACAATGTGTATGAAAATAAAAAGAACATCTATTTTCTGTCCTCTCATACCAAGAAAAACAAAGGATAGGAAATGTTGCCTTACTAATTACCTTTCTGAAGGAAACCAGTTCTCTCTGAAGTGATGGTTCATGAGAGCTTCTCAGATCTAAGCAATGTCTGATCAGTGTAATTCCAATGAAAAAAAAAATCTAGGTCATTAATTTTTCCCCCTCCATAAATTCATCTTTTTCTATCAATGAGTATAATAGAATTTATATTAAGAATATATCTTTTCTAACCTTTACAAATCTGCATGATTTTCCTTCCTGCCTTTAAAAAAAAAAAAGATTCTCCTTCCCCTCTCACTTCTACTTTGTTTTTGTTTCTGTTGCTCCCATAACCTGCTCCATTTCCATCATCTTATTTTTCCAGCCTCCTTTAAGACCGCATCACAGTCTTTCAGGCTAACCCCCAAGGTAAAATGCTTTTCAAAAAGCAGAACTCCAGATGATGCTATTTTCCACAAGATGCACCTGGAGAAGCTGGCAGCCCATGGCATGGCTGGGTGCACTCTTCACTAGGTAAAAACCTGGCTGGGTGACTGGGCCTAGGGAATGGTGGTGAAAGGTTGCATCAGGGGGATGGCCTGCCACAAGTGGAATTCCCCAGGGATCTCTGTTGTTTGATATCTTTAACAATGACCTGGACAAGGGGATGGAGTACACCCTCAACCAGTTTGCAAAAAAAAGCCAAGCTGACTGGGAGTGTTGATCTGTTAGAGGGTAGGCAGGCTTTGCAGAGGGATCTGGGCAGGCAGGATCAATGGGCCAAGGCCAGCTCCACAAGGTTCAACAAGGTGAAGTGCCAGGTCCTGCACTTTGGCCACAACAGCCTCATGCAGCTCCACAACATGGGGGAAGAGTGGCTGGAAAGCTGCCAGTGGAAAAGGACATGGGGGTGCTGATACAGGTAACTGAACATGAGCCAGCATGAGCCCAGGTGGCCAAGAAGGCCAATGTCATCCTGGCCTGGACCAGCAATAGTGTGGCCAGCAGGAGCAGGGCAGTGGTCATCATCCTGTCCTCAGGACTGCTGAGGCCACACCTCAAATCCTGTGTCCTGTTTTGCATCTCTCAATGCAAGAAGGACATTGAGGTGCTGGAGCATGTCCAGAGAAGGGCAGCAGAGCTGGTGAAGGGTCTGGAGCAGCTGAGGGAGCTGGGGTTGTTTAGCCTGGAGGAAGAGAGGCTCAGGGGAGACCTCATTGCTCTCTACAACTGCCAGAGAGGAGACTGTAGCTAGGCGGAGGTCAGTCCCTTTTCCCAGGCAACCACCAACAGGACAAGAGGAAATGGTCTCAAGCTGCACCAGGTGAGGTTCAGGTTGGACATCAGGAAGAATTTTTTTCACTGAAAGGGTTGTCAAGTCACCATCTCTGAGGGTATTTAGAAGAAATGCAGATGTGGCACTTGGGGACATGATTCACTGATGGCCAGTGCTGGGTTAATATTTGGACTCTGTTCTTACCTACACAATTTGAAATTTAATTTAACTGTGTTTTATTTCATTTTTCAGTCTTAGAGAACAGGGAGCTTTTCTGAGAAAATTGAGAGAATAGAATATTGTATGTCTCTCAGCATCTCACAAACTGTGCAATGACTCTAATACTTGAAATCTCTTAGCAATTTTAGGCTTTGAAATTCAAATAACTACTCTCTTCTACAGAATCCTGAACTGCAAAATGTCCTGGTATCACACTGAGATGATCTGCTTTGCTAGGATGGTTAGCATCTAAACAGAGAAAATAACCAGTGCTGACTGACACAACCCAGTTAGACTTTGCTTAGGTACGGAAGCATGAACACATCTTGTGTAAAGTGAAGCTTAACTTTCTCCTGAGAGGCTTTGATGTCACAGTGAAAAGCACAAAAGGTGAGAGGGTTACATGTCCGAGCCAGGAGAGATGGTTTAGACAGGTAGAGGGATTTACAAAGTTTTATATGTATCTGAGACAATCTTTCAAAATGTTTCAAAAGTAAAGGCAACAGTCCTAAAATATGTAGTGAAAAAACTGTTTCCTACACTTGAGATGAGGCCATAGCACCATGTGATGCATGGTATCCCAGGCAGGTTTCACATCTGGTGTCAGCCTGGCTTTGTTTGTTTCCTGGCATTTACTGCTTTCAGTAATATGGCAATGCTGGCAGGTCCTAGACTTTAGGATGGACTCATAATCAGCACAGGCACAGAAATTTGCTTTGAAAACTAAATGCTTGAACATGCTATTACCAAAAGATATATATGCAAGCAAGTAAGTTAATCTGGTATGCAGATCTCCTTGTTAATCAGGATTACTTTAGCACTATGCAAGTCAACCCACCGGAGATTTACAAAAATCAAGATAGTAACTCCACCCTGCTGCAGGTGTGTGGAACAAGACAGAAAGTAAAGGCAGAAATTCAGGTGTGGGAAGCAGCAAACAGCTCTTTCCTGTGAGCTACTCCACACAATATCAGGAGTGAGAGACCACAGTTGCTTAGGACACATACCTGGCTGTAACTCTGGATGGCACCTCTGGCCTGACTGCTGCGGGACGGGAGCTGGGCAGAAGCTGTTTCACCCAGGGCAAGGGTCTGGTTGCTGTGGTAGCTGGCTGAGTACTGGAAGGATCCTTCAGGTTTGGAATTGAGCTGGAGTGCACTCTGGGAGAGGAGGCTGGGCCCTGTGGGGACAGGATTTGAGAGCAGTCAGAAAGCCTCAGTGAAAGAGCATACCTGCATCATCTGTCAAGTGAGTCTTGAAATTATCAGATGTATCTGGCTTCAGATTTTCAGAATTTGACTTTTCAGTAATTAAAATACATGCATTACTTTGTTTTCTTACCACTCAGTCATCATGTTCAAACAACAGACCACATTGCTTTCTTTGTAAGAAATGTATCATTTTGACTGGTGAAGAAATTCTATGCCTGAACAAATCCAACCATACTATTTGGTAGAGAACTGCTTTTCAACTCAGAATAGCTGATGAGGGTTTTTCCCCCTAAGGATAAGCCTTGTTTATTTCTCTTAATTATATCCAGTCATTCTGCCTGGGAAATGCTAACTTGTCCCTCCCTGAGCCCCCAGCACACTAGATCTATTGATTCCTGCCACTGTCCTGTACACAGAGTGATGTAATACTTTGGTGCCTGTAGGGATGGATGGCAGCCTTTAAAATATTAATTGCTCTTCTCATCATGCACGACACACCCTGATCTAGTGAATCTTTGATAACTATTTTTCAGCTATCTTATCTTCCCCACCACAGCACTGCATAGCAGGAGAGCCAAGTACAGGCAGCGAGCCTGAACTGGGGCTACCAGACTGAAGGGCATGTCAGGACCATGAACATTTTCCACAGTTATTTAGTAGCTCTGTGAAACTAAAACATGTCCTAATCTTCATTAGGTTCACCTACAAGTGATTTAGCTTACCACATGCACATAACAAATTTCCCAATTTTTCCACACAGGAATCAAGTGCACCTGCAGTAAATTTGAAGATGACACCAAGCTGAGTGGTGGAGTTGCCACACCTGAAGGATGGGATGGCATTCAGAGGGACCTGGACAAGCTTGAAAAGTGGGTGCATGGGAATCTCATGATGTTTAACAAGACCAAGAGCAAGGTGCTGCTCCTGGATCAGGGTAAATCCTGGTATGAACCCAGGCTGGAGGATGAACAGATCCAGAGCAGCCCTGCCCAGGACTTGGGGGTGCTGGAATGGCTGGACATGACCCAGCCATGGGCACTCCCAGCCCAGAGAACCAAATGTGTCCTGGGCTGCATCCAAATCAGTGTGGGCAGCAGGGGAGGGAGGGGATTCTGCCCCTCTGCTCTGCTCTGGTGAGACCCCATAGCAGTGCTGCATCCAGATCTGAGATCTCAGCACAGGAAGAACATCTGTTGGAGCAAGTCCAGAGGAGGACCACTAAGTTAAATGGAGCACCTCTCCTATGATGAAAGGCTAAGAGAATTGGGATTGTTCAGTCTGGAAAAGCAAAGGCTTTAGGGTGATCTAACTGTGGGCTTCCACCACCTGAAGGGAACCTACAAGAAAGATGGAGAGACACTTTTTATAAGGGCATGTAGTGGCAGCACAATGGCTTCACATTGACAGAGTAGCTTTAAATTAGCTGTTAGGAAGAAAATCTTCCCTCTGGTGTGAGGCTATGGCACAAGTTGTCCAGAGAAGATGTGGATAACTCATCTCTGTTAGTGGTTAAGGCCAGGTGGGATGGAGCCCTGATCAGCCCGGTCCAGATGGAGATGTCCCGATCCACAGCTGTGGGGTCGGAACTAGATGAGCCTAAAGATCCTTTCTGACCCAAGCCATTCTGTCATTCTATACACAGAGAGCTACAATAAAGAATACACACTTAATCCTCTCTCTGTCTTCACTGATATTAGTCTCTTTCAGTGTCTGGGCCCAGGAAGTGAAATACAAGAGGAGGAAAAAGGGTTATACCTTGGCCATTGCACAGGTTACCTTCAACCCAACAGCTGTCATGTGTACCACACTCAGTGGCTCCACAGGGCTGACAGGTTCATCCTTTGGTTAGCACTAACAAGCTCATGAGAGCACAGAAGGTGACACAAGCCTTAAGAGATGTGAAATGATTACAGTGATTTTGCTCCTACAGAACATGTGGTAAGTTCAGTTTTAAACAGACTCACAATGGAAAAATTCCAATGAATTTACCAGAAATAACATCCAGTACATTCCTGATACAAAGGCAGTTTTTATGACCTTTAAATCTTTGCTATGAGGATGTAAAGCTGTTCCAAAAAGATTTCCACTTAGCAAACATGCAAACAACCCCACCCCCGAATTGCACAGAGAGTATTTTTTCCTCTAGCCCATTTCTCAGAAATGGCAGAACCATTAGAACTGCTATTTTCCAAATCCAACCTGGACTGCTCGTATTATAAACAAATCGTAGTAGGCTATGTAAAGAGGAAGTGCTCCCATCTAAATGCAGACTGGGATTTTGACACAATTTTACACATCAACACAATTTATACTGCAAAATCAATGGCATTCATCAGAACATTCGAGATACAGGACAAATTTAGAACGTAAGTTCTGGTCCCTGGATTTTCCTTACAAGTACAGGAGGTAGAGCCCTGTGTATGCTGTGAGGCCAGTAAAAATGTATCACATCCACAGGAGAGCTGAATTTAATCCTCTATGGGTGCTTATAAATCCAGCCTTTGGTACTTTCCATTCCCTGGCTCTGCAAATAGGGTTTATTTAGCGTTTTCCATTTAACTGGTTTTGTTGCAAAATTTCTTCTTTAATGAAAGAAATACTTTCACAGTTTTTTTTTTTTAAATTTTAAGAGCATAAAGAAAATACATGCTTAGTTCTAAAAAGATCTGTAGGGTTTATTTGAATCTCTTGGATTTTGAATTTTCACTGATAATTTTTCTGTGATCAAGTGATGAACAAGATCAAGTTCAGAAATTTCACAAAGGCATAAGTTTCCCATGAGAAGCAAACGTTGCAAAAAGAAAGAATTTTTGTGCATGAAAGTGTTTGTACTCATTCTGAAAGTAATTATGCTGTGACATTTCTAAAGCTTAAATAATGATTAAACTATCACATGCTATGAATGCAATATGTTTAAATTTTCATTGCATCTGGCTTTCAAGTGCTGCTTTCATATTACTGTGGCTCACTAGGGGATTTACATTGCCAGCTAGAAACACATACATGGGTTCCCTGCACCATTTAGTTTAAACACTTCCATGCACTTAAAGAAACTTATCCAACCTCTTAAAAAAAGAATGTAAAAAGTTTGGCGCACATAGTTTGAAGTTCACTAAAATACTGGTTTTATTTAGCAGTTTGTATTTTGTACCTTAACAAGCAGTAATGAACAATTAAAATGAACATACATTTCAATAATTACAAAGTAATTTCAGAGAGACAGATATATATTTTAAATAAGCCTAGAATTTTAAATAAGCCCAAGCAAGTGTAAAATAGAGTAGTGGTTGCTCACCTGTAAATAGCAAAGCCCTAAATCAAGCATACAAACTAGAAGATATTTGAGACCAATTAAAGTGACCATGAGAAAACACAAGTTTGTTTTTTAGGGACTGCAAGCAGTCCCGCCTTGTCTGATAAGGAAAAGATGCATTGCTTTTCTCATTAACATTCTTGAGATGTTAATCTGAAGGTAAAACCAAATCTTCTAAAGAGCCTGCAGTTCACTCAGAAGAGAAGTTTGTTTGTGTCCTGTACACTGATGGCTCTTGACAATAATCTATCATTTCTTCCAGGCAAGAATTTAAACTCTGTTCATCCAACTGTTTTTCATTTGCTTTCAGAAGAGTTAAGGCAGCTGGAAATTCTCAATTTTCAGCTATGCACTGGAAATCACTAGTTAACTGCTAGCACAATTCAGTCTTACTGGTTCCCTTAATGAGACATAATTACTGCAATTGTTCAATTTAAAACAAACACTTCAGACTTCATAAGATTTGGTGTAGCAGATATCAATGATCTGTGGTATTGCTTTAAAATTTTGTACTGTTTGGTTTCCATTTGAGTCTATGGGGAAGACATAAATACCTGTTCTCCCTTATGTTTTCACCACCACATTAAAAAAAAGAAAAATTCCTTGTGAAAGACTATTGATGTTGGGTTATTCAGGGTTGATAGTACCAATTTTTCACTGATTCAGTTTGTGCCACTCTCCTCCTTTATTAAAATGGTAGAGGTAAGAGTGAAAATTCAGGAAACTGAGTCAGAGCCATCATACTGCAAGAGACACCTCTGTGGACTGACTTCAAATGATGGAGCAGGTTAGAGCAATCAACTCTTTAACTTGTCTCCAGTTTGGGGGACAGATACTGTGTCGCAGACATCTTTTCATTAAAAATCTTTTCTTAGGATTTTTCTTCCTGAGAAGCTGAGAGGCTTCAGGAACAAAATGTAAACAGTGGTTATCTGCTGCTGTGGAATGCAACAGGTGCATCTGTGATTGGCCCATCTTGGATGTTTATAATTAATGGCCCAGTTTGCTTGGACTCTCTGTCCGAGACACAGACCTTTATTATTCATTCCTTTCTATTCTTACCTTAGCTAGCCTTCTGAGATGAAACTTTTCCTTCTATTCTTTTTAGTGTAGTTTTGATGTAATGTATATCATAAAATAATAAATCAAGCCTTCTGAAACACAGAGTCAACATTCTCATCTCATCCCTCACCTGAAAACCCCTGTGAACACCGTCACAATACTGCAGACAATACCTTCCTCTTCCTCTTATCCTTGAGCAGAGCAGTGTGCAAGCCTCCCTAGGTTGCTCACCTTGGCCTCTGTAACCCAGCTCAGAAAGGAGCTGGAAGGAGAGTGAGAAGGTGGTGTCTTGCTTGGGGCACAAAGTGCAGTTAAGTGGGGGAAAGCTGCTGGAGCACAGAGAAGACCAGGCAAGAAGAGAACAGATGTAGATGGAGGATATGCTTACATCAGGGAGCCAACCCACAAAGAAACTTCAGAGGTGATGGAGAACAGAGGACTTTTCTAGGATTAGAGAAGGGAAGCAGGAATTTCTTCTGTGGTTTAGAAGTCCAGGTGCTGGCAGGCACTGACAGGGTTAGAGGAAAATGACTCTCCCATTCAGGCAGTGAGGAGAGGGGGCTTTGTGTGAAGCCCTTTCCCTTAGTTTATATT